CACGCCCGCGTCGCGCGCGCTCACCTGGAACCGCAGCAGCTGCAGCTCCTCGTGGTCCAGCGGCTGCAGCGCGAACACCTCGCCGCTCTCCGCGCGCACCGACACGTAGCTCGACAGCGCGCGCGCGCCCACCCGCCGCTCCACCAGCGCGTACGACACCCGCGCGTTCTCCCGCGCGTCCGCGTCCCGCGCCGACACCGTGAAGACGTGGCAGCCCGGCGGGTTGTTCTCCTTCACGAACACCGTGTACTCGGGCTGCGCGAAGGCGGGCGCGTTGTCGTTCACGTCGGCCACCTCCACCGCCACGCTGGCCGTGGCCCACCGCGAGGGCGAGCCCCCGTCGCGCGCGGTCACCACCAGCTGGTAGGCCGACACGCTCTCGCGGTCCAGGGCGCCGTCCAGCACCAACGAGTAGTAATTCTTGAAGGTGGACGCCAGCTTGAAGGGGACGTGGGGCGTCAGGGAGCAGGTGACCTGTGCATTGGCACCAGAGTCTCGGTCAGACACGCTGATCAGGGCGATGACGGTGCTGACTGGCGCGTCCTCTTTGACAGGCAGAAAGAGAGAGGTTATGGCCATCTCTGGGGCATTATCATTCACATCCAGGAGTTTCACTATTACTTTGCAGTGTCCTGTTAGTGGGAATGTACTTCTATCCACGGCATCAATGTTAATTTCATATAAGTTACAGTCTTCATAATCCAATTCTCCTTTAACGTTTATTTCACCACTGTTAGAATTGATTGTAAATTTAGACTTTACATCGTCTGCAACAATATTACTAAAGAAATACGCTATTTCCTTATTAACGCCCTCATCTGCATCTGAGGCATTCAGTTTGATAACTAATGTCCCATTCCGAGTATTTTCCAACAGTCTGACATTGTAAATGGACTTATCAAATTTCGGGGCATTATCATTCGCATCCAATACAGTAATCAACACTTGAGCTGTACCTGTTAGTTCAGGTTGTCCTCCATCAGTTGCAATCAGTAACAAACGATGTTCTTGGGTTTCTTCTCGATCTAAAGATTTTTTCAAAACTAGCTCTAAAAAGTTTGCTTCTTCTTCGTTTGTCTTAACATCCAAGTCAAAATATTCGTTAGGATTTAATTTGTATCTCAATTCTGCGTTTGCTCCGATATCCAAATCCGATGCGCCCTCTACCGGAAACCGCGAATCTGGCATTCTTAACTCTAAAATGAATAATCTTTGTTCTTGCCTGAAGAACTTGGGCGGGTTGTCGTTAATGTCCCTCACCTCCACCTCCACGTGGAAAACCTGCAGCGGCCGCTCCACGAGCACCTCCAGGTGGATGCCGCACTCCAGGCTCCGCCCGCACAGCTCCTCGCGGTCGATGCGAGAATTCACAAACAAAATGCCGTTCTGCAGATTCACCTCCAGAAGGTCCCCGCGGCCCTTGGACGCCACCCGGAACAGGCGCGGCACCAGCTGGGCCAGCTCCAGCCCCAGGTCCTGCGCGATGCGGCCCACGAAGGTGCCGTGCTTGGCCTCCTCCGGGACCGAGTAGCGGAGCTGGCCGCTCCCCGTCTCCCAGGCGGCGAGGAGAAGCCAGAGCAGCAGGCGCCGGGATACCGGACTTCCTCTCCAGGAATATATCATCTCAATCTCGTTCCTATTATCAAATCTCTATTGCATTACCATAGAGTATCTTTTTGAAACTTAATACCCAATTTGCTATATAATTTTTACCTGCTCGCCTTTTTTGAGCTTCTTAGCAGAGCCAAAAATGGAAGATCCTTTTCCTTTATGAGGAAAACGTACTCACTGTACTTTGATGTTGGTGGAGAGAAGGGAAAAAAACTTTGCGGTGTCCAGCGACATCATGTGGATGAAAGGGTAAGTGTCTTACTTTTTTTGTTGTCTTATCCACCTTATATACGCCAATATTTCTCAAATAGTTCCCAATTTCAATGTCATGATTCCTATGAATCTTTATAGCCTTTATTTCTCATCAAAATGTATTATTAAATCTATCTAAAATGCATCAATACAAGTACATCATTAAAATATTACTACAAATGCAACTGAAGTCATGAAACATCCAATCTTTACTAGAGTAATTTACGTTGGTCTATTTTAGGGAGGGGTTTCTATATTTCCAAACTGATAAAAATAAATTTTATGAGTTAGAGTTTTGACTTTTTTCCTCTTTCTCTACTTAAATACATTTTAATAAAATTTTTGAGTTTTCTTGTATTATTTTAATGGCATGTTTGCATACTATCTCCATGTTACTCATAAAACAAACCTTTGTTCTAATTTTCATTGATTAATACTGAGATTTTGCTGATGTTATTTTAAATAACCAAACTATTTTAATAACATTATTTCTTGAGTTTCTTTTTGGAAGTCTAATTTTCAGATTGATGAAAACCTATTTGTTCGATTTCTCTGTAATACCTATTTACATTTTGTTTTGACTCAAAAACTGTAATGTGGAGATTTTAATTTTTTAGAAGTTAAAATCATAATAGAATATCTTTTGTAATCATCTTGACACCATTTACAGTTATTACTCATATACCAGTTATTGTAAATTGTGAAATGGCATATCTTTGCATTATCCTGCAAGTCAAAACCCTAATGTTATCTAGATGATGTACTATTCCACAAAAGAAGTTTTAAAATTATCAAAAAATGCAAACTCAATTTAAGTTCACTTGATTCCCCGTATTTAAGGATGTAAAGAAATAAGATATTGTCACAGAATTGTTTCTGATATCATCTACAAAGGTGGATATATTACTTCCTTTATATTTTGTAAGATTCTTACTATCTCTACTATCAGAACTTTCCCCTAACACTTGAATCATTTAAAACTAATAACTTTTCAACACTACTTGCCTAATAGTTATCCATAGCGATAATTTTAAAATATTTTAATGCACAATGGCAAAAAAATCAAATAATAGGCACACTCTATTATATAACAGTGAAAACTGTGAAACTACAAAGCTATGGCATAAATTATGCTATAGCATCATGCAAAAATACATAAAGATACCCTTTGAAAAAAGCAAATATTAAGTACTTAAGAACTAAATTAACAGTGTGGTATTACAATATGTGTGTATTGTAATTTACAGACTATTTTGGCAAATATTTAGTATTTTAAAAGATATCTTAGTGGAGAAAAGGTCAACAGTATCAGTTCACACACTCCTCTCAGTCTGGAAAAAATATATATCTTGTGCAATTATATAGATATTTCAGGAGAAATATCTATACAGACCTCTTGACATTTGATTCATCTTCACATCAGTTAAATTGTATTTACTTTTGAAATTATTATCTGTATGTATGTTACAATGATCAACTCTTATTTTGAAGGTTACTTTCTAAATAACTATAGATTCTTTAGTCTAAATTCCATGGGAGACTCTATAGGAAGAAACCTTTTCTTTTGAAACAGGGTCTTATCCTATTGTCCAGGCTGGAGCACAGTATCTTGATCATAGCCCCCTGTTCCAATCCCTTGGTTCAAGCCTCCAACTCCTGGGCTCAAGCAATCCTCCTGCCTCAACCTCCTGAATTGCTAGGACTGCAGGCATAAGCCACCACATCTGGCTATTTCTTTTTTAATTTTTGTAGAGACAAGGTCTCACTATGTTGAACATTTAAAAAATCTTCTTTTAAGCTATTTTTAGGGAAATTATTATAGATTACCTTCTTGACTGATCTAGTTACCCTCCTCTCTAGATATTTCAGTCATATTTAAGCACCACTGTGTAAATAGACAGCTACTATCTCAAAAGAACATTATGAAATGCCATCTTGAAAAACCTTCCAGCCAATACTCAGCAAAATTATTTATCAAAAGTGATAGTAAAATGAAGACACTACTAGATATACAAAAACTCTCTTTACCAGCAGGTCACATTAAAAGAAATATTAATAATTTCTTCAGAGGGAAAATGATCCCCGAAAGAAACACAAACATAAGTGGAAGTTAAGTGCATAAAACAATGATAATAATATAATATTATATTATTTTAAATAACTAAAACTATTTTAATAACATTATTTCCTGAGCTTCTTTTTGGAAGTCTAATTTTCAGATTGATGAAAACCTATTTGAATATATGAATAAACAGAAGGCATAACAATAAAAAGTTTAGGGTACCGGTAAATGGTAATGTTATTCAAGGTCTTAGGATTGTCTGGAAGTGGCAAAAAGTAATGATTTAATTTGGGTAATAATGTCAAGGATGTGTATTACATTCTCCAGGAAATGAAAGAGTTAGTAAAAAAAAAAAAAAATACCTTAAAAAGATAACCAAGGTACTGACATGACCAAGATGGTGTTGTAAGAAACCCCAGGCCCTCTACAGACATACCAAGTCAACAACAATACATGAATCAGTTCCATGATGAGAAATCTAAAAACAGTTAAGAGGTACCTGTGTGCCCGACAAGTGCAAAACCAGCAGTATCAAAGATTGTAGGAACAAGTGATGGGACACACTTTCACTATAGTCCTATCACAGTGTCACTTAAGACAAACAACTGAACTAAAAATTTCACAGAGAGGTTCAACTGCAGATTTGATCAAGTATAAAAAAGAATCCATTGTCTCAAGGACATGTAATTTGAAATTATCCAGACAGAGGAGCAAAAAGACCAAAGTAAAAAAGAGTGAAGAAAGCCTAAGGGACTTATGGGGCACCCTTAAGTGGGCCAATATGCCCATGATAGTCTCTAAAAGAGATGAAAGAAATAAAAAACGAAGTATCTTTAAAAATTATGGCTGAAAACTACCCAAAAAGTGAACATCAAGATTCGAGAAACTCAACAAACTACAGGCAGAATCAACCCAAAAAGGACTACATCAAGATATATTATAAGCAAAAGTCAAAGATAAATAATTTAGAAAGTTGCAAGAGAAAAATGACTCTTTACATACAAGGGAACACCTCTAGACTATCAGTGTATTTCTCAATAGAAACCTTGCTAACCAGAAAAGAGTAAGATGATATACTGAAAGTGCTGAAAGAAAAAAAATTGACAGCCAAGAATATCATATCCAGCAAAATTTTTCAATAATGAAGGAAAATAAAGACCTTGCTGAGAAACAAAAGTTGAAGTTTATCACGAGTAGACCTGCCTTATAAAAATTGTTAAAAGGAAGTCCTTCAGGTTAAAATTAAAGGATGCTAAACAGCAATATATAGGCATATTGAAGTACAAAGCTCACTAATAAGAGGATATATATAGACAAAAACAGAACATTATAATACTGTAATGATGGTGCATCAATCACTTTTAAACATAACATTAAAACTCTGTACAAAGATAAATTTACAAAAAACTACAATCAAACAGAGCAGAGGTGGCAATCTGTCAAAAAATGTCACAAGAAAAAAAAGTGTCACAAGAGACAAAGAAGAACATTATGAAGTGATGAAAGGATCAGTTCACCAGAAAGATATAACAGTTGTAAATATATGTATATGCATCCATCAAAACATCTAAGTATATGAAACAAACATTCACAAAAATAGAGAAATGGATATCAACATGACAATACAGTCATGTGCTGCATAAAGATGCTTCAGTCACTGACAGACCACACGTACACAGATGGTCCCATAAGTTTATAATGAAGCTGAAATTTTTTTATCTCCTAGTGATGTTGTAGCAGTCATAATGTTGTAGCACAACACATTACTCAGATGTTTGTGGTGATGCTGGTATAAAAAAATCTACTGCTTTGCTAGCCATATAAAAGTACAGTATAGCACACACAATTATGTACAGTACATGATACCTGATAAAGATAATAAATGAACATGTTACAGTTTTATATTTACACTATATTTGTAATCATATTTTATAGCATACTCCTTCTACTTATACAAAAATGACTTCAGCCAGGTCCTTCAGGAGGTATTCCAGAAGAAGATCTTGTTATTATAGAATGCCTATATGTCTTATATACCCCCAAAGACCTTCCAGTGGGACAAAATGTGGAGGTAGAAGACAGTGATATTTGTAATCCTGACCCTATATAATCCTAGGTGAATGTGTGTTTGTGTCTTAGTTTTTAACAAACAAGCTGACAAAGTAAAAAAAAATTAATAGAAAAACTTATAAAGTAAGAATATGAAGAAAAATATTTTAATACAGCTATAGAGTGTGTTTTAAGCTAAGTGTTATTACAAGAGTCAACAAGTTTTAAAAATTTTTTAATTTTGGCTGGGCTTAGTGGCTCAGTCTGTAATACCAGCACTTTGGGAGACCGCAGGTTCGGGACCAACCCGGGCAACTTGGCAAGACCTCATCTCTACAACAAATAAAAAAAATTAGCTGGGCATGGTAGCACACACCTGTAGTTCCAGCTACCTGAAAGGCTGAGGCAGAAGAATCACAGGAGCCCAGCAGGTCGATGCTGGGGTAGCCATGTGTGCCACTGCACTCCAGCCTGGGTGACTGAGTGAGACTCCAACTCAAAAAAAATTTTTTTTTAATTTTATAAAATAAGAAAGCTATTCTAAGCTAAGATAAATTTTTAGTAATTTTATTGTAGTCTAAGTGTACAGTGTTTTAAAGTCTACACTAGTAAACAATAATGTCTTAAGTATTCACATTCACTCACCATTCATTCACTGACTCACCCAGAGCATTTTCCAGTCCTGAAATCTCCTCTCATGGCAGGTACACTATACAGATGTACCATATTTGATATTTTATATTGTATTTTTCTGTATCTTTTTATGTTTAGATATGTTTAGATGTTTATGTACACAAATGCTTACCACTTTGTTATAATTGCTCATACTATTCAGTACAGTAACATCTGTACAGGTTTGTAGCCAAGGAGCAATAAACCATATAGCCTAAGTGTGTCTGAGGCTATATATCTAGATGTGTGTAAGTAGGTAAGTACATGCAATGATGTTTGCACAATTATGAAATCATCTAATGATACATTTTGCAGAATATATCCCCATCGCTAAGTAACCTGAGTATAGTAAGAGATTTTGATATCTCACTTTCAATAAGGGATAGGCTATGCAGACAGAAGATCGATAAGGAAAGACAGAACTTGAAAAACACTACAGAAAAAATAGAACTAGGAGACATATACAGAATATTCCACCCAACAGCAGCAGAACATATATTCTTCTCAAGCATACTCTGAGCATCTTTCAGGATAGATCACGTCAGGCAACAAAACAAGTCTTAACAAATTTAAGAAGATTGAAAGCATACTATAGGTATTTTCTAACCACAGTGGGATAAAACTAGAAGTGGAAGTAAAACTGGAAAATCCACAAATATGTGAAAATTAAACAACAGACTTAATTTTTTTCCTTCTCTCTATGAAGATTCCAGAAGTAACAACAGACCTTTGAACAACCAATGAGTCAAGGAAGGAATCAAAAAAGAAATTAGAAAATATGTTGAGATAAATGAAAACAGAAACACAACATACCAAACATACAGTATGCAATAAAAGCAGTACACAGAAGGAAATTTATGGTAATAAATGCCTACATTAAAAATGAAAAAAACAATCTTAAATGAACAACTTAACCTTGCAACTCAAGGAACAATAACCAAAAAAAAAAAAAAAAGCCAAAACAGAATGAAGGAAATAATAAAGACTCAAGCAAGAATAAATGAAATGAAGAATGGAAAAATAATAGGAAAACATCTACAAGAGCTAAAGATGATTTTTTAAAAGATCCATAAAATTGCCAAACTATTAACTAGACTGAAAAAAAGAGACTCAAAATTAGAAATAAAAGAGGAGGCACTAAAACTGATTATAACAGACTATTATAAATATTATATAATTTATATGCCAACAAATCGATAACCTAGAAGAAATGAGTACATTTCTAGAAACATACAACATACAACAATGAATAGTAAAGAAAATGAAAATCTAAACAATCCTACAACTAGTAAGGAGAGTGAATAAGTAATCAAAACCTCCTAACACACACAAAAAAAGCCCTAGGCCAGATGGCTTCACTGGAGAATTCCATCAAAGAGGAATCGATACCAATCTTTCTAAAACTTCCCCAAAAGTTGAAGAGAACACTTTCAAGCTAATTTTATGTGTCCAACAACAACTACAAGAAGGGACAAAAAAAATGAATCTTGATCCCTACACCTCACAACAATGACAAAAAAATTCCAAATGGATTGTAGATATAATACAAACAATAAAACAAAAGATACCACAATAAATTATCTTCACAACACAGAATCAAGAAGCAAAAATCGATAATCTTAATTAAAACTAAGAATTTCTATTCATCAAAAGACACAAAATAATAAAATAGCAGGCCAAGCACAGTGGCTCAGCCTGTAATCCCAGCATTTTGGCAGGCTGAGGCGAGAGAAATGCCTGAGATCACAGGTTCAAGACCAGCCTGGGCAACTTGTGAGATCCTGTCTCTACAATAAATCACAAAAACTAGCTGGACGTGGTGGCGTGCATCTGTCGTTCCAGCTACTTGAAAGGCTGAGGCAGAAGGATCGCCTAAGCCCAGCAGGTAGAGGCTGCGGTGGCTGTGAGTGTGCCATTGCACTCCAGTCTGGGTGACAAAAGTGAGACTCCAACTAAAAACAAACAAACAAGACATGAGGTAAAAAATGGGTTATGTTTAGAATATAAAACATTTTTTAAGCAATAAGAAAAACACAAGATGAAGGAATAAAGTTCCATGAAAGCAAAAAGGAAGAGAAAAAACACACAATAGACAAATAGATTTGAACAGCTATTGCACAAAATAAGATATAAAAATGACCATGAATCATATAGAAAGGCCCTCAACCTTATTTAAACATGAAATTAATTCAAAGTAAAAATACAAAAGTCACCCAGTAAAATGGCTGACATGAAAATAAACTAGCTAGGCTCGGTGGCTCAGCCTGTAATCCCAGTATTTTGGGAGATGGAAGTGAGCGGATTGCCTGAGCCTGCGGGTTCAAGACAAGCCCAGACAACTTGGCAAGACCTCATCTCTTCAATAAATCAAAAATTAGCTGGGCGTGATAGTGCACGCCTGTAGTTTTGGCTACTTGGAAGGCTGAGGCAGAAGGATCGCCATAGTGCAGCAGGTGTTGAGACTGGGATGGCCATGAGCATGCCACTGCCCTCCAGTCTGGGCAATGGAGTGAGACTCCAACAGAAAGAAAGAAAGAAAGAAAGAAAGAAAGAAAGAAAGAAAGAAAGAAAGAAAGAAAGAAAGAAAGAAAGAAAGAAAGGAAGGAAGGAAGGAAGGAAGGAAGGAAGGAAGGAAGGAAGGAAGGAAGGAAGGAAATGGAAGGAAGGAAGGAAGAAAAGAGAGTAAACTGACAAGTGAAGAAGTGATGTGGAAAGCAGCAGAAACTCTCATTCACTACTGGAAGTGTAAACAACTAAAAACGTCTTGGAAAACTCATTGACATGTATGTGTGACATAGTACTAGAAACAATTAAATGAACTACAACTTCATGTAACAATATGAATGATTTCATTAAAAATGAGTAATAAAAAACACAAATGCACAGATAATACATTTTTTGCAATTCCAATCACAGTCACCAAAACAGGCCTCAAAAACCACAGTTATAAGTATGCAGTTACATATGGCAAGAAATGAGGGGAAGTGATTTAGCAGTTGCATGTGAAGGGCTTCAGAAATGGCGATAACAGAGATTTTTACTTTTAGACAATTATTCGAGCTTTATTTTTTCTATCAGCACGTTTGTGTCTGTATCATAGGTGAAATAATAATAAAATGAAGCCGGGCTCTGTGGCTCAGCCTGTAATCCCGCGCCTTGGGAGGCTGAGGTGAGTGGATTGCCTGAGCCCGCGGGTTTGAGACCCGCCTGGGCAACTTGGCAAGACCCCATCTCTACAATAAATCAAGAAATTAGCTGGGCGTGGTAGCCCACCTGTAGTTCCAGTTACTTGGAAGGATGAGGCGGAAGGATCGCCGGAGCCCAGCAGGTCGAGGCTGCAGTGGCTGGGAGCGGTCACTGCACTCCAGTCTGGGCGACAGAGTGAGACTCCAACTCAAATAAATAAATAAAATGATTTTTTTCCTTTTTTGCTTTCTGAGTTGGAGTCTTACTCTGTCACCCAGGCTGGATCACGACAATCACGACTTATGACAGCCTCGAATGCCTTGACTCAGTCGATCCTTCTACCTCAGCATTCAAAATAACTGAAACTACGAACGCACGTCACCATACCTGACTATTTTTTTTTTTAATTTTTTTATAGAGACGAGGTCTCATATGTTGCTGAGGCTGGTCTTGAACTACTGGGCTCTAGCAATCCTTTTGCTTTGGCCTCCCAAAGTGCTGGGGCAACAGGCGTGAGCCAAATTAGTGGACACAAGTTTACTAGACACTAAAAAGTTATGTGAACATGCATTGAATAATAAAGCGTAAAAATAAGGCACTAACATTGTCTTGGCCTAAAATTCCTAAAGATATTAGTTGAAATGAATAGGTAAACAGGTAAAATATGTGATCAGAAATATTTGATACTGAATAAAATGAAATCATAAAGAAGTTGACAGAAAAAATCAACTCAAAAATTCAAATTTAAAAAAAGGATATTATAAACTAACCTTTGCAACGGATTCCCCAGTTATCTGTGGCAGATCCTCTCTGTCCTTTGAGTCGGGTAAACTGGGACTGAAGGCCATGAGGTCGGTCTTGGGCGGGCCCTCCCCTGAGCACACCCTCTGCCGCCTCGGCCGCGAGGACGACCAGCTCCCCGCCGCGCTGGAGCACACCAGCGGGGGCTTGCCCGGCCCGCACGCGCCCTCGGGGGGCGGCGCCGAGCACCGCAGCGCCGTGTACAGCAGCAGCGTCAGCACCAGCAGGCTGGACACCGCGCAGATGGCCACGATCAGGTACACGTTGACGTCCACCAGCGCGGACCCGGGGCCCGCGGAGCCCGCCAGCGCCCGCGACGCGGCCTGGGGCGCCTGGCCGCCGTCCACCAGCGACACCAGCACGGTGGCCGTGGCCGTCAGCGCCGGCTCGCCGTGGTCCTTCACCAGCACCAGCAGGCGCTGGCCCGCGGCGTCCGCCTCGTCCAGGGCGCGCGTCGTGCTGATCTCGCCCG